AGTACCAAGAGCGGTGGAGAGCCATTTGCCGATCTCCAGACAACTGTAAATTTGACACCAATCCTAGTGTGTTGCCCCGACATGATAATGTCACTCCTGATATTCAAGTGATATTGGACATCAGTGCTAGGCTGGCAAGCCCATCCCAATTTTCCCCCCACTGGCCTGTGAAGTGACAGTGGGAGACTGTCTTGTAAACAACTCACCTGAATTTCACTGGCCATCAAGGCATCTCTTTGGAGTTCTTTTTCTATATTATGATCAGGGCTATTTTTGGGCAGGAACGCACAGGAACAGAGTTCCGGCTGGCTCCTGAGTTGGCAAAAAAAAACAGGAATTCATTAACATAATAGGCCACACCTAACAGCAGAAACTCATTAGGATTGGCTACATTAGGGGTGTGTGGCCTAACATGCAAAGAAGTTCCTGCTACAAAAAAAGCCCAGGGTTTTGACAAGAAACAAAGTAAACAGAATAAGAAGCAAAAGGTGGCGGTGGCAACATGGGGTGTGGCCTAACATGCTAATGAGCGGTGGTGTCAGGGGTGTGGTCTAATATGCTAATGTGTTTCTGCTGTTGGGTGTGGCCTGTTATGCTAATGTGTTCCTGCTGGGCTTTTTCTACAAAAAAACCCCTGATTGTGATTATACACTATGGGTTGGATCCAGGCTAAATTTTCCACTAACAGAAGGGGAGGTATAATTTGCGCCAATTTCCCCTTCCAGCTGTAAAACTTGGCTATTCCCCTTGTGCCATTCTTGAGGCTCTCTTGTTCCCCAGGAGCAGCATTGTGGAGGGATCGATGCATTTCAGAGGGAGGCAGGGAGACAGAATGTTTTGCTGATGGAGGAAAATTGAGTCTGGATACAGCCTTAGGATTGTGTATTAGAGATGGAGCTTTTAGTCAGTTAACCAGTTAGATTAATTCATTTAAAATATTTTGACTGACTGAAGGGGTGCCCTTATTACTTGAGCTACAGATGATTAAAGAAATATCCTAATTCAAGTAGTTACAAAATTACAGATAACAGGTACCTTGTTAGAAGAGGTATTCCTACTTCCGTACAGGAATGCCTGTTTCAAGGGAGTTCTTTGTGGATTCATATAGTACAAGGCATACATTGCTCCTTATAACCATTCTCATTAATTGGATTTTCTTAATCAGTTAAAATTCACATGGTTAATCAAGTAGCATCCCAATCCTGTGCATTTTTACTTTGAACTAAGTGCCATATTGTTTCATGGGGCTTACTCTCAGATAAGGGTATACAAGTGAGCCAGTTTGGTGGTTAAGTGCGCGGACTCTAATTCGGGAGAACCGGGTTTGATTCCCCACTCCTCTATTTGCACCTGCTGGATGACCTTGGGCAAGCCATAGTTCTGACACAGCTGTCCTTGAAAAAGAGCAGTTTCTGTCAGAGCTCTCTCAGCCCCACCTACCTCACAGGGTGTCTGTTGTGGGGAGGGGAAGGGAAAGGAGTTTGTAAGCCGCTCTGAGACTCCTTTGGGTAGTGAAGAGCGGGGTATAAATCCAGTCTCCTCCTCCTCTTCTTCTTCCTACTTATTATCTCTGAATAATTGATTTTTAGTAAAATAAAGTTTTTTTTCTTTCCCTTTAAACTAGGGGACTGGAAGTTCACTTAGTAGGTAAGTGTCCTTTTTCCTCTGCCACCTTTGACGCATCCCTCTTGGGGAGGGGAGGGGAGGGATGGTAGAGGTAAACATCATAAAGGTCTCATGACTGACAAAGCAGATGCTTAAAATAGAGCACAGAGCAGAGAAGTGACATGATAACTTTTCAAAATACAGATGTTGACATGCAGCATTATACATTTTAACTACTTCACATCTGACTGTATGAGCTTTGACTCCCCAAGGAAAACTTTATTGGTCTTTAAGGTGCCACTGTAATCTGATCTTGTTTTGCTAGTACAGACTGACATGGCCATCTGTAATAATTTTTAACTGTTTTTTATTTTGTCAAATGAATTCTGAGTTTCTACTTTGCAGGCAAAAAGAAGATTCACAGCTGGCCCCTTCTGAAAACTCAAACACAACTTCTGGCTCCAAAGAGAAAGGTATAGAAATGTGACATTATGCCTGATATATGCAGGGCTAGTAACATCTGGAAACATAATTGTAGGAGACATTTTGGAAGTAAATAATACAATTTACCATAACGTTGTTCCATTGCTTCAACAACTACAACGCAACCTTTATTGGCACAGCAAACTAAAGGAAAACAAACAGGAGGAAAAGGAAATCCTAATACATATCTCTCCTTTTAGAAGCCAGATACAGAAAATTTGTCACCATTTCGACAATTACAGCACTTTGGGAGGAAAGAAAATAGAAGGTCATGTTCATTGGATTGGCCTATTACATCCAGTAATAACCGATCTAAATACAAAATACCAGGGCTATTTGTGGGCAGGAACGCACAGGAACGGAGTTCCGGCTGGCTCCCGAGTTGGCCACGCCCAGCAGGAACTAATTAGCATAATAGGCCACACTCAACAGCAGAAACTCATCAGGACTGGCTACATTAGGGGTGTGTGGCCTAACATGCAAAGAAGTTCCTGCTACACAAAAAGCCCTGGTTTTGACAATAAACAAAGTAAACAGAATAAGAAGCAAAAGGTGGGTGTGGCTGGATGACCACACTTCTGGTAACATGGGGGTGTGGCCTAATATGCTAATGAGTTTATGATATTGGGTGTGGTCTATTATGCTAATGAGTTCCTGCTGGGCTTTTTCTACAAACAAAGCCCTGCAAAATACGAATATCAGAATAATAAGTACAGGGCAGAAAAAACATGCTCAATACTTTCTACTTCATTCCTGCCACAGTTGCATACCCTTTGCGCATATGGAATCTTTTGAAACCTCCTGTGAAGTACTTCAGAAGGCAATATGTTAAAATGGGCTAACATATCAGCTCTGCGAATTAAGTGGCTCGAAGAGGCAGAAGACATGTGTTCCTAGTGAACCAATAGGAGAAATGCCTAACCTAGTGTTGTTCCATTGTTTCACTTTTCCCATTCCATCAAATGGTAGGAAATTCCAAGGCAACCTGACAGAATATGTTTCCTTTTTGAACACAGAGCGTTTGTCCCATAGTGTGCAACAAGAACAACCAAGACTGTATACGTGTGGCTCTTAGAAGAAAGCTAACATTGTACTGATCGATTGCTTGGAGGAGGGGGAGAGGGGAATTGAATCCAGCCATTTCCACTCCTGCCAAACAGCTGATCAAGGGGATTCAATACATTTTGGAGCTACCCTTGCACAGGCCTGGCTGCTTGAGTGCATGCAGTTCCACAGCCAGCTAAGGATATCTGTGTTAAAACCTACTTCCTTGTGCATGTGGCCCCAAGCTGAATGAAGCAAATATGAGTTACCATATCCATGTATTTCCATAGGTACACATTGAGAAGGTAGGCTAGCATAGCAAGAAGGGCATCTCCAAAGCTGCAGCAGTCTCCAGTAGGATTATCATCCATGAAAATGTGGGGGGTGGGCCTACCAAAATGGCATCCATCGGTGCCACAACATCACTTCCAGCTGCATAACTGTAAGTGATGTCTCTGAGCTATGGGACAGTCCAAGATTTCTAGTTTTGGTTGACTCCTAGAGCATTCTGCAGTGCGGTGATGTCACTTCCTGTTATTCAGCTGGAAGTGATTTGGAAGTGTTGATGGATGCCATGTTTCACTCCTCCTGTCCCCCCCCCACTGACCCACTGAATGCCAACAGTGGACAAAGCCCAGTCTCCAAACAGTACTGTTTAACCCCCAAAGATCCCCCCCCCCAGCATTCTTTCTCACGACTACTCAGTTTAGTTTCATGTAAACTTTCTGTGGAATCCATGGTCACTTGTGGCTGTCCTTTAAAGGAGAGACATCCAGTGGGAATGAGAAGGACCATACGGATGAGCTGATGCTGATTGAGCAGTGGGTTGACTTCAACTTCAGCGAAAGCAAGGAGACAGGTAAACTGAGCTTCTCAGGAGCATAAGGCCTGGATCAGATCAAAGGCCTAGCCAGATGTCCTTGGGATGTCGGCAAACTGAATACAGCTGGGGAAAACTTGGTGTGGAACATTTCTTTGTATGTGAGGCCTTAAAGAGGTTCCTGCCTAAATCAGTTGACAATACTTGTGTTGGTGAGAACCTTTCGTTTTTTATTGCAACCTGTGCCCATCAGCTTCCAAATAAATAGACCAAAAGAGGCTTCAAGGCCATTTTAGCCTCAGATACAAAAATACTCCTACAGCAGATTCTGCTGCAGGTGCAGAGTGCTTATTCCCCATATTTCACACCTAATGTATATATTTTTGAAACATTTAGTCCTTGCTTTTCTCCCAAGTAGCTCCCAACATTCCCCTTTCCTCCGTTTTTATCAGCACAACCTAACCCTGTGAGGTGGGTTAGACTGAGAGACAGTGACTGGCCCAAGGTCATCCAGGGAACTTCTGTGGCAGAGTAGGTATCTGAACCAGAGTCTCCCAGATTCTAGTATGACATACTAACCACTATGCCATGCTGACTGTGTAGTATCATAGCCACACTCACTCCAGTCATTTGCAACTTCATGGGAAAGTAACCAATGCTCCTGCAGATCTCCCTAAGTCATAGCTAATAATTGACTTCCTGTGTCCAGGTACAGCCCTGAACAGCATAGGTAGGGATGACAGCCTCCAGGTGAAACCTGGGGATCTCCCGGAATTACAGCTCATCTCCAGATGACAGAGATCAGTTCCCCTGGAGAAAATGGCTGCTTTGGGAGGGTGGACTCTGTGGTATTGTACCCCACTGAGGTCCCTGTCCTCCTGACGTTCCAGCCCCACATCGCCAGGAATTCTCCAACCTGGATCTGGCAACCCTACCTCCCATCTCCCGAGCCTTTGGGCCTTATCTAATATGTGATGATGGTTCAGGGTCTGTACTTGTCCAGAGCTCTTCATATCAGTGAATGAGACAGATCATTCTACAAGATTCCATCTAGTCATATGGGCTCTTTGTAGTTCTGGTACTCCAAAGCACCCTGCCAATTAATTACTAGCCAGTGTGGGGAGTGGCCAGGGTTCTAGTCTTAGTTTGAGGGCAACATAGCCTGCCTCGCACGGTCACAGTGAGAATAAACAAGGGACCAGATCTCCTTAAAGGAAGAGTGGGATGGAAATAAACAGGAAAAGCTGATTTTAATTGTCTTCCATGTTAACCCTGCAGGTGCGCAGTCAAACTCCAGGGTCCAAAACTCTATCACGTGGATTGTTCTGGTTGTATTCACCATCCAGATCGTGGGCTTGATAACGACTGTCTTTGTTTTTACAAGTGAGTGGAAATTAATGTAGAGTGAAAAACCATGTTAGAAATTCAGTTTCCCCCCCTCCCCCCCCGAATCCTAAGATGAGCATGTTTTCATATGTCCCAGCAGGGTGTACTATTGTTTCCTGCCCTGACATGGATTGCCCAGACTAGCCTGATATCATCAGATCTCAGAAACTAAGCAGTGTCGGCCCTGGCTAGTATTTGGATGGGAGACTACCAAGGAATACCAGGGTTGTGATGCAGAGGCAGGCGCTGGCAAACCACCTCTGAATGTCTGTTGCCTTGAAAACCACCCCAGGGGTTGCCATAACAACTCATCTGTGACTTGACAGCAAAAGCAACAACAAACTGTTGTTTCCTACATCCTTGTGCACACACACTTATCTGGCTGACATTTAATACTCGCTTCCAGCCTTTCACAAAGGCAATGACTGATCTGAGTTTTTCTAACCCTCGAACCCAAAACGACTTTGTATAATTCTCAAGTTGTGCCTTTCATTTTGTTGTTCTTTTGTGACAAGCACTCAGGGGTGCTGGTGGTAGTATCAGTTTCAGTATTGTCCACAGAAACGGCCTGTTGCTATGACATTCCCCCACCCCAACATAACAACTTTGGAAAACAGTTGATTTCACAATCTCAACATTTCTCATTGTGAATCAATATTGGCGTGAGAGGGAAACATTCAGATTGGTTCTGCAAGGAGAACATCTTAAATGTTGGCCCAATTATAACCAATGAAATCATGGTATGCAAATAATTCTTTGAGGAAGGGCAACAGTTGGCTCACATTTATCTGGAACTAGATGAGGTTGTTTAGCTCAAGGAGGAGCAAGAAAATAAGAAACATCTGGTCCCTCAGATGGGTAGTGGGCTGATGTCCAATGAAAATATTTTCTTTTATTTGTTCTTTTTATATAACGTTCTTTAAATATATGTGCCAATTCAGGTATAAATATATTTTAAAGTCAAGCTGCCATGTAGTTACACAAAGAACACTATTAAGTTCATTATTATACCTTGCATTCCCCCTTCCGTTACTAGCACACTAAAAAATAAAATCTATTTTACAATGGCTTGCTAAGTATGTCGACGTACAAGATTCATTTTAAAAATTGCTTAAAAGGGGGGGGGCAACGTTCTGCCTTTGATTGGCATGCAAAATCTGTCACCTATTCTTCCAATGCCTGCAACTGACAGTTAATATTTAGGGTGAATTTGTACCTGATTATTTATACCGTCAAGTGTGAAAGCCCACAGGTGTGGCTATTTGGAACCACTGTTCCTAAGATGAGCATGTTTTCATATGTCCCAGCAGGGTGTACTATTGTTTCCTGCCCTGACATGGATTGCCCAGACTATCCTGATATTATCAGATCTCAGAAACTAAGCAGTGTCGGCCCTGGCTAGTATTTGGATGGGAGACTACCAAGGAATACCAGGGTTGTGATGCAGAGGCAGGCGCTGGCAAACCACCTCTGAATGTCTGTTGCCTTGAAAACCACCCCAGGGGTTGCCATAACAACTCATCTGTGACTTGACAGCAAAAGCAACAACAAACTGTTGTTTCCTACATCCTTGTGCACACACACTTATCTGGCTGACATTTCATACTCGCTTCCAGCCTTTCACAAAGGCAATGACTGATCTGAGTTTTTCTAACCCTCGAACCCAAAACGACTGTGTATAATTTTCAAGTTGTGCCTTTCTTTTTGTTATTCTTTTGTGACAAGCACTCAGGGGTGGTGGTGGTGGTATCAGTTTCAGTATTGTCCACAGAAACGGCCTGTTGCTATGACATTCCCCCACCCCAACATAACAACTTTGGAAAACAGTTGATTTCACAATCTCAACATTTCTCATTGTGAATCAATATTGGCGTGAGAGGGAAACATTCAGATTGGTTCTGCAAGGAGAACATCTTAAATGCTGGCCCAGTTATAACCAATGAAATCATGGTATGCAAATAATTCTTTGAGGAAGGGCAACAGTTGGCTCACATTTATCTGGAACTAGATGAGGTTGTTTAGCTCAAGGAGGAGCAAGACAATAAAATAAGAAACATCTGGTCCCTCAGATGGGTAGTGGGCTGATGTCCAATGAAAATATTTTCTTTTATTTGTTCTTTTTATATAACATTCTTTAAATATATGTGCCAATTCAGGTATAAATATATTTTAAAGTCAAGCTGCCATGTAGTTACACAAAGAACACTATTAAGTTCATTATTATACCTTGCATTCCCCCTTCCGTTACTAGCACACTAAAAAATAAAATCTATTTTACAATGGCTTACTAAGTATGTCGACGTACAAGATTCGTTTTTTAAAATTGCTTTTAAAAGGGTGGGGGCAACGTTCTGCCTTTGATTGGCATGCAAAATCTGTCACCTATTCTGCCGAGTGGTATGGCCAGGATTTGGGAAGCTGGCCTTTTGAAACAGATGGGTTTCTGTGCTTCCACTGTGCTTCCACTCTGCAGGTGACAGAGATCAGTTCTCCGGGACAAAATGGCTGCTCTGGAGGGTGAATGCTACTGTAGTATACCCCACTGAGATCCCTCCCACCCTCCTTAGGTTCTACCCCCCAAATCTACAGGAATTTCCCAACCCAAAGTTGGCAACCCTATCTTGGGCCATAATTTGCCATCCTCCGAACTAGACACTGCGAGGGAGCGAGTTCAGAGATGTTGAGTGGCAGCCCTTTTGCCCATTCTATAATGTCCATTTCCATCCCAAGCCCCTTGAGGAAAGGATGGAGAGTACCAATGTAACCCATAAAACAATGATGGTTCTTGTTGTCAGTGGCTAAACCCCATTTGCCGTCCTCCGTCACTGCCGCCCCTTGTTGCCCACATGGCTGGATCATGACCCAAGGGAGCTGCTTTCACTTCTTGGATCTGGAAGGGGCCTGGGAAGCCGGCCAGCAGCACTGCTCTTCTCTTGGGGCCTCCTTGGCGGTGATTGATGACTTAGAGAAACTGGTAAGAGAAAGAGCGGCTACTAAACACAGCCTCTACAACGTGGCTGCCACACCGACATTGTACGAGTTTGGGTGTGAGCTCATGATTTCTTTTGAATAAAGTGCGTGGGCAGCTGTATTTCAGGTTGCAAAATGCCTTTCAGCTGTTGTGCATGTGGTTTTGTACCTGACTGTGCTGCAAACGAGCTTGCGCAGAATATCCTGTCCACAGATGGTTCTTGAGGTTCTTTTTTTTTAGTATGAATGTTAGTGGGTTTTTTTTAATGTGACCATGTACTATCAGTACCTCCCCCACAATGCTCTCTTCCTTGAATGTTCATTTAGTGAAAATTCTATCCAATTCCTCACTGAATTGCTGCTCTCCTGCATTCCGGGTGAGCAGCCCTAGGATGATTGACAACGTTCACCAAAATGTTCATCTACTTATGGTGTCTATCAGTTGAATGGGCTGGAGCCCCGAAATCAGGGGTCTGGCAACCCTAGTTCCACTGGAATGGAGCTCCACGTGACTCAGCATGGCTTCTGTAGAGTACAGAAGCCATGTTGAGTCATGTGGAGCTCCATTCCAGTGGAACTAGGGTTGCCAGACCCCCAGTCCGGGTGGGCAAGGGAACCTTTACCTTTTACTATCAGTACCTCCCTCACAATACTCTCTTCCTTGAATTTAGTGAAAATTCTATCCAATTCCTAACTGAAGAATTTCTGCTCTCCTGCATTCCGGGTAAGCAGCCCTGGGATGATTGACAACGTTCACCAAAATGTTCATCTACTTATGGTGTCTATCAGTTGAATGGGCTGGAGCCCCAAAATCAGGGGTCTGGCAACTTTAGTTCCACTGGAATAGAGCTCCACATGACTCAGCATGGCTTCTGTAGAGTACAGAAGCCATGTTGAGTCATGTGGAGCTCCATTCCAATGGAACTAGGGTTGCCAGACCCCCAGTCCGGGTGGGTTTCCCTCCAATTTCGGGGCTCCAGCCTGCCACTGGCCAGCTGGTTGGTGGGGAAGCCCCACCCCTGAACAGGCATGTTGCTCTGCAATATTCCTGTCATGATGACATCACCAGGAAGTGGCATCATCACATCAGGGATATCGGGGTGCTGCTCTAGTTTTTGTGCAAACTCTATGGTTTTGAAGGCAAAAACCATAGAGTTTTGCCCAAAAACTAGAGCAGCACGTCCCTGACATGATGACATCGCTTCTGAGGGATGTCATCGTGGCACACACACAAAGATCCCAGATGAGAGGCAGGATCCCCCCACCGGCAGCCAGGTAGGACCTGGCAACCCTAAGTGGAGCTTGAGCAGGAGAGCTCCCTGTTGGTCCGGTCAGGTCAGTTCTCTCATTTTGCCATCCTTGATGGAACCTGAAATTTGCCACCCAAGATGGTCACCTCACCTAACTTCCTGTGGCTCAAAAGGAAGGAGGTGTGGGTCATGATGCAGTCAAGTAGGATAGACAGCACTGGCTGCTGCAGTTTGCCTCTCGTGTTATCCGATATCAGGCCTCGCCTTTATAACGTGCATAAGATTGCAGATTTTGTCCAGGCTAGGAACAAAGGGTGAAACTTAGGACAAGTCAGGGGACAGGGGACTTTGGCAGGAGTGGAACCAGGGCTATTTTTGGGCAGGAACACACAGGAACGGAGTTCCGGCTGGCTCCCAAGTTGGCCACGCCCAGCAGGAACACATTAGCATAATAGGCCACACCTCATTAGGCTTTATAACGTGCATAAGATTGCAGATTTTGTCCAGGCTAGGAACAAAGGGTGAAACTTAGGACAAGTCCGGGGACAGGGGACTTTGGCAGGTGTGGAACTAATTGCAAAAGCTTTCTGCTTGACTCTGGGGCTGGTGCAGATGGATACAACGGACCGGACTGGTCAAGCATGTGCACGGTGTGAAATTTATGCTAATGACCATGCACATTTACTCCCCCCGCCCCCCAAAAAAGGTGTGAAGCCAGTTGAAAATCTTGGCTTTTATACACAAAATTCTGCCAGTTGGTCAGAGGTTGAAAAAAATATTCTTCAAATCAGTTGGCATCCTTACATGGGAAAGCCCTCCTCCTTCTGAAAACCAGTTTTTCTTTTTAATCAGGATTCTGCCGTGCCTCACAAAGGATCCTTCAACCACTGGGTGGGCCTCCTCAGAGAACCAGGCAAGAGCTGGAAATGGCCTGACGGTACCTCCTTCAACAACCAGTGAGTTCCTATTTCCTTAACTCAAGTGTCTCCCTCTCTCTCATTTTGTATGAAGGTAGATCCAGGTGGGGTAGCCATGTTGGTCTGAAGCAAAAGAACAAAGTTTGAGTCCACTAGCACCATTAAGACCAACAAAGTTTCATTCAAAGTATGAGCGTTTGTGTGCATGCACACTTTTCCAGATATAATCTGAAGATATCTCTGATTTGACATAATCTGAAGATATATCTGAGGAAGTATGTGTGCACATGACAGTTCATACCTTGAATAAAACTTTGTTGGTCTTAAAGGTGCCACACCGGACTCTAATTTTTGTCTATTCAGGGCTTTTTTTCTGGGGGAGCATGCTGGAATGGAGTTCTGGAACGTCTTCAACAAAATTATTTTTAAAATGTTTTAAACGTTCACGAGTGTTCAGTATACAGACCGAAAACCTCATTTCCCTCTTGAGAGTTCCGGCACCTCCTCTTCTTCTTTTTTAAACTTGCTTCAGACAATTTTGTATGTTAAAGAAACCACATCCACAGGCACTCCTGAGGATGTTTTCACACATGAAGGCTTAAATCAACTTTGCTTTAGTTCATATCCGATCACAGATACAAAAAGGTGGCTTCTGGCTAGGGCTGCCAGCCCTGCTATAGCAAATGCTGAGAGATTTTTAGGGGATGCCTGAGGAGGCTGGAGTTTGGGGGTATGTCATCACTTCCTCTGTGCCACTCTAGGAAGTCTCCCAATCTCTATGGTGGTGTTTGGGGGAAATTCCTAGAACGTTGCCATCAATGCCTCCCCTCCCATCCAAATCAGTGAGGGTGATAGACTGTAGCTGGGAGCACCACACAGCCTTACTTCTGGCACCTCACCGAAGGTGCCAGTTCTTACATCCCCACTGGCTCCACTCACCCTTGCGACCCGGTGCTTCTCTACTTTCTTTGGTCCTGCTTTCCCTCCATGTCTCCTTGTTCCATCTCTGCTTCTTCCCACCTCCGTCATGTTCCACCTCCTTCCCTCTCTTCCTGTCCCCTCCTATCTCATCACCTCCAGCTCCATTCCGCACTCCCTTCTTGCCTTTCCACTGTTGCCACCTCTGGATTCCTCTCTCATCAGCTGCCACTTTCTCCTTCTGTGTCTCCCTCTCTTATTCCCCAGCGTGCGACTCCCAGGGATTCTCCCACTTACCTTCCAGCTCACTGCAGCATTAGTTGCCATCTCGCCCAGTGCTCAGGACAGGGATCCAAACCCTTCCTCGACTTCCCTGGCACATTGCATGCAAGGCATTGGCTTGTTTGTGCCTAAAGCTCACTAGATCTTCTCATGAGTTTTTTTCCTACTTTCCCCCCTCCTTTTAAAAATTTTATTTCCCCCCCAGAAAACCTGAGCGCCCCCCCCCCCAGTTTTGAGAGTCAGTTTGGTGTCGTGGTTAAGTGCACAGACTCTAATCTAGGAGAACCAGGTTTGATTCCCCACTCCTCCACTTGCAGGTGCTGGATGACCTTGGGCAAGTCTTAGTTCTGTCAGAGCTGTTCTTGAAAAAGAGCAGTTTCTGTCAGAGCTCTCTCAGCCTCACCTACCTCACAGGGTGTCTATTGTGGGGAGGGGAAGGGAAAGGAGTTTGTAAGCTGCTCTGAGACTCCTAGTGAAGGGCAGGGTATAAAACCAATCTCTTCTTCTTCTTCTTCTTCTTTTGCAACAATCTTTACCATAGCCCCGGGTGGCCCCATTGTACAGATTGTTTGGTCCACACAGTGGGGCTACACGTGGCTGTTAGATCTGTAGAGATCTCAGGCCGTTTTAGTAGTGTTTTTTTCCTAGTTCCTTTTAGTTTTAGAAAGTTTTATTGGGTCTGTTTCCATTCTTTTTAGTTTCATATACTGTGGGCAAGGGTCAGCGATAAGGCACACCTGTCCTGATTCGGGCCCACATTTCCAGACTCTAAACATCTGGATTGATCAGTGACTCTGATCTACTAAGAGTCCTGACCTTTGCACATCCTGTACCTATGGGCATTTTAAAGCTAAGGGTAGCTCGTTAATTATTGTACTATGTAAGCATCCTTAAGACATCCTCCCTAAAGTATCTGTTTTCCCCTGTTTCTGTATGTGCAAGCCCCAGCCTCACCTCATGGTGGGGGGGGGGCAGAGTGTGTATAAAATAAACTATTGCTGCCTTGAAAGGCAGACAGATTTCTCGACCCTCAAGAGAGCGGTCTCGTGTGATTCCTTCAATATACTTCACCTGGACTGCATCTGTAAGAAAGGAAAGGCAAAAATATTAGAAACAAACACGTCAGTGTCCATATGCGAACTAGCCCCTTTTATTGTTCTTCTCTTGCAGCTTTGAAGTGGAAGGCGAAGGGCAGTGTGCTTATCTAAACAACGGAGTTGTGAGCAGCGCTGACTGTTCCCTTGAGAAGAAATGGCTGTGCAGCCAGAGAGCAAGACAAGAAGGAAGCCCAGGCCACTGCAAGGGGACATGAAAGCTTCAGGACTGAGCTTTTCCAAAGGAGCTATCAGTGCTTTCCCAAGCTATGAGCTGCCACTTGCGTGCATGTTAGCCCCCAGTCTCTTAGGGGGGCATCCCTTGCCCAAGCCACTGGGTATCCTTACTGCCCAAGCTTTCTTATAGTATGACTTCCAGAGCCAGCAGGTTAAAAATCAGGCATACAGTATTGTAAAGGTAAAGGTAAAGGTTCCCTTGCTCGAAAGCCAGTCGAATCTGACTCTAGGGTTGCGGTGCTCATCTCCGTTTCAAAGCCGAAGAGCCAGCGCTGTCCGAAGACGTTTCCGTGGTCATGTGGCCAGCATGACTAAACACCAAGGCGCACAGAACGCTGCTCCCTTCCCACCGAAGCGGTACCTATTTATCTACTTGCAATTTCTTGCTTTTGAACTGCTAGGTTGGCAGGAGCGGGAACTAGAGACGGGAGCCCACTCCATCATGCGGCACACTCGGGTCTCGAACGGCTGAACTACCGACCTTCCACAGCCTGCAGTTCAGCGTCTTAACCACTTGAGCCACCGCAGCTCCTACTTTTGTAGAGAACACCCTAAAACTAGGGTGTTGTTCTTGCTATTATAGCGCAAATTTAGGGCACAATCGTAGATACCTGCTGAATGGATGAAGGGTATCCTGCGATGATTTAATTAAGCCAACAGCCTCAGCTTTCCTTTTGGATGGAAAAAAATTGGCAAGTTTCGCATTCCCAGAGTTGTGACAAAATCCCTGAGAACACAACCTAAGATGTAACTGAAAGACTGAAAAATCATATGGCAACTGAAACAAGCCTTTCATTTTTAAAAACTTCATGATTCAGACTCATAATATTTGAGGCCTTCTGATTGTTCAGGGCCTAACCTAAAGGTTTTGGATTTTGTCATCATGAGGCCTCTGGTTTTCTTAAGGCTCAGGTATTGGTAGCATACTGAGATGGAAGGCAGATAGCAACATCTTCCACTAAACGTGCGGGTGGAAGTAAAACCATGGCCTCTCTATCCTGCAGTCATTGTATGTATCTAAAGAACAGATTTGTGAGTGGCAACTGAGCTGTTCAGAGAATGGGCAGGAGAAAAATCTAATAAAGACAAATATATAACTGGTGTCCTGTGATGAGCTGCAGAGGGTGCCTTCTGCATTGTCAATTTATTGGTCATTGTAGCCCAGGGATGTCCAATCACGCAAAGCCTGTAAGCATTTGGGGGATATTAAGAACTAGTAATGGGAAGAAAGTGAGAAGTTTGGCCTCTTCCTAAACATCAAAATAACTGTTGACGATGAAGAGATCGAATGTGTGGAAGAATTCACTTTCTTAGGATCACAGATCAACCAAAACAGGAAATGCAGTCTAGAAATAAAACAGTCAAATCACACTGGGTCGCACAGCAATGATGAGCATGAATCGAATATGGAAGAGCAAGGACATCAGCCTAGCAACCAAATGCAGATTATGCAACCTATGGCTGCAAACGTTGGACCATGAAGAAGCAAGACAGGAGGGAAATCGACTCATTTGAGCTGTGGTGCTGGAGAAGGCTCCCTCACATTCCTTGGATAGCAAATGTGATAAACAAGCATAAAACCAGACACATCATTGGAAAGAAAAATCACGAAACCGCGAGTGATTTATTTTGGCCATGTCATGTGGAAGAACTCACAAGAAAAAGCAATTATGCTTTGATTGGTTAGCGGCAAAAGGAAACCTGGCCTCCAAAGAACACAGTGGCTGGACACCATAAAGGTCAACACCAGCCTGAGGATGGAACGACTCAAAGAAACAGTACAAGATTGGAAAACGTGGAGAGAGCTGGCCCATAGAATCACCAAGAGTTGAACACAACTAAATGGCTAACAACAACAGTGGGAACCACCACAAAACATCTACCTTGGAGACAATCACAAAATGTTGGAGTTTTCCAAGACAAGCATCCAGTGATAAAGGCAGTTGTTTCTGAATGGGTACTCCCTGCAAATGCCATAGTACACATAGGCACCATATTGGGGATTAGGCTTACTGATCTAGCCTGCTGTTGCTCACTAACACTAGCTGCCAGAGATAATCCCACTGAAGTTGCCAGGGACTGAACCTGAGACCTTCCATGTGCAACACCCTTCTGCTAAAACACCCTTCTGCTAAAATTCCCTTCTGCTAAAACACCAATCCTGGTCCTCCCCATTTGCCTCAAAAGCTGCATCCAGCCAGCCCCAAAGGACAACATCACGACGCAAGAAAGAAACAAATCCTGCCTGAGACAATATTAACCTCAAGGCAGATCTTTCGTATAAATATGCCCCGAAATACTGGCAGCTGAGGTCAACCATTTCAGGATGTGTGCATACACAGACCCCTCTTGAAGGAAGGCTTGTCTTCAGACATGGAGCGATTCTGCAGCTAGCATTCACTCCACATCTTCTCAACTGGGAGGAAAAAGTGCAGCTCAAAAACCACACTCAAATACCTCCAGGCAATGCCGTACTGACTGCAAAATCAACCCCTAAACAGCCATGAAACAACCATAAATCTATGCAGAAGATACCATAAAAATCTAATGATCAAAGGAAGCGAAAGCGGCATGGATTGTGAAGGCTACCGTAAAATCTGATGCTCAAAAGAAGTGAAAGCAGCATGCAATGCAGAGGGGAATTTCTGTTCCAATGTGGGTTTCGTAAAACAACGGAGGGAAAAGCCAATGCAGAATCAGCCATGGTCAAATGCCGTCACAGAAATGTCCTAGAGAATCACTGCAGCTGAAGATTTCTAGAAAAATTGCTCCTGCCCACTACCATAAAGAAATGCTGATCTGGAAAATGCACAGTGTGTACTATGAAGATATTTATAGCCCTGCGGGAAAGGAAGTCAATGCGACCTAGAAATAAGAGTATAAAAGTAGAGGCGATCCTCTATCAGTCAATGTGGGGGTAACTAGGGGGGATTTTTCTGTGGCACTTTTATTGCTTCATAACCTTTACTCTAGTAGAGGGAACATTTCCTAGAAGCAGGGCTCCGCTTGAGTCATGCTGGCAACCCGTGTTCCCTATCGTATTCGTGCATGGGGACATAGCTGCCATACTGTGCATAGATACAGTATCAGTTACCCAGACTAATGTTAAAGCGCAGCACTGTGGAGCCACTTGCAAATGGTTGCCCACACAGCCAAAAGAGACAAGAGCCGATAACTAGTGAGGGGGGGTACTCCACAGCACCCACGCATACTCAAAAAATGTCCTGTTTTCATCAGATGCTCAGAAATGCTGTATCACAACTGTTTTGCTCAAGAGAGTTCCCACAGTGCTTTCCTGCAGCCGTCCCTGGTCCCCTATGGAGCAACTGGATTTAAAAAAAAAAAAACTTACAGAAGAAATGCGTTCCTTCACTGTATTGAACCTGCAGAGGAGAAAGGAGGGTGTGGCGTTCTTGCTTATAGGCAGGGGGCATTTTGTGTGAACAGGGTGTATTGCATATGCCACACCCCCTGACATCACCGGAAGTGTGTCAGAAGGCAACACCCACCACTCAGGCTCCACTGTTTTGGATTGCTAGTTATTGGGAGGGGGGACATGCTGATCTGTCTTCACAGAGGAGGGAGAGCTTGTACCTGAATAAAACTTGGTCTTAAAGGTGCTACTGGACTA